AAGAGGGAAAAGCTGACATTTTCATTCTCAAACCCCTTAGGGGTTCTGCTTGCTTATATATTTTTTAAATTCAATACTCACATTTTTACAAATAAATGTTATTATTGCCCTCATGTTATAGTGGAGAAACTGGACTTAAATAGATGAGATGAGCTGCCTAAAATCAAATGGCCATTAAAATTTTAAAGAATAACCCAGAGAAAAGACAAAAACAAAACAGAGAAGAGAAAGAACATGGATGTTTTCTGGTAGATGACAAAAACAGCCAAAGCTAGAGACAGGAAAATAAGTGGAACACATATCTGTGTGAAAAATGTTCGATGTTTCTTCACAAAGAATTGAAGTTCTGAGGAAATGAAACCTAACTCTCAGTGCATTGCCAAGAAAAAAGCCACATCTGGCCTCCTTCCATCTCACTGCCTCTCAAATACCCAGGATGAAGAGTCTACTCACAGTACAGCCCTAGAAGACAAAGGGAAACCTCCTGGCTGTCAACAGGAAAGCCAGAAAACAAATCAATTATAGGTATTTAACTACAACAGTGTTTGTGGCAATAAACACAATAGAGAGACCATCCACAGTCAAGTTTCAGTTTGGCTTGGCTGAGGACAGTCCCCTGGCTTTCCTAACCTTGAAGCAGATGCCTACATCCTAGGACTGTTGTCATACTTAAACCCACCAATAATTTCACCTATTTTCACAATTTGCAATTAACACAGAGATCGAGTGAGGTAGAAAGTGTAGGCTTACCTGTGCACTGATTTTTCCCCTTGTGTCTCTAGCCTACACTTTTAATTCTCTAGCAAATATTTATGTGAGACACATGCACACATATATTTTATCTGAACATGTTTATGCCATATGCTTTACTGCTTTGTATGTATCTAAACAAATGTAAATAATAATATATGGTATATATTGTTCCTCTATCATTATCTCACTCTACTTTGATGATCTCATCATGCTAGTTAGTGTACACTTAATTTTGTTTGTTTGTTTGTTTTTGTACCAGGGATCAAACTCAGGACCTTGCACTTGCAAGGCAGGTGCAGTGCCACTGAGCTAAATCCTCGGCCCAGTGTACACTCAATTTTGCTGCACAGTACCTCACTATGAACATTTAGATTGTGCCCAATTCTATAACATCACAGAATTGCTGCCATGACTATCATAAACCTATGTGAGAAATTCCATGGAATAGATTCCTTGGTGGATATGTGTGCACATAATTTAACTGAATGGTGCCCAGCTGAGCTCCACCATGAAAGCACCATTAGAAAGAGAAGACTCTGAAAGTAGAAGCCAGAGTGTAACTCACAACTACTCTGCTGTTAGCTATGTGCGTTGGGAATGGCCCCAAATTCTCATTTATAAAAGTGTAAGCAATTACATTGCCTCTACTAAGGTTACTATGAGAATTAAATGAGACAACAATGTTTAGAACAGTATTTGGCATTTGGTAAGTAAATAAATAGCATCACAATTGTCATTTTTTTCCCCACTCCAGAAAAGATTGCCCAGTAGACTGAATCTTTGCACTAGAAGGTCCATACAGCTCAGCCTCCTCACCCCACCGAAAGGACAATAAAAGTAGAAAGATGGAGGCCCCTGTCCAAGGTGTTTGGATGTTACCAGAGGAGGGATGTGAATGAGTGCTTCAGGTTCCTAGGCCAGGGCTCCTTCCCCCGTAAGAGAATACCCATAGCAGCCCTGGGATTCCACACAGGCAAAACTGAGGGAGAACTAGCAAACAAAATCTGTCCCCTGGTCCTTCCTTACACTGCACTGTACAGGTTGTGCGTACTTCCACTCATCACGCTCACTCTGTGAGCTTTCAGGAATTTTTCATATCATAGGTGTCCAGTTTTCTGGCTTGCCTGGGCCACACTGAATGAAGAGAAATTGTCTTGGGCCACATGTAAAATCTATAATATAGTTAATGTTTATAAGTAACAAAATCTCTCTCATTTTTAATATTTTCCTTTTTTGGTACCGGGGATAGAACCATTTTTAATATTTTCTACCATAACATTTTTTAAAAGATGGTAGTATAAACTGACGGTGCTGGGTGGGTGCAGGAGACAGAGTTAGCACTACACAGCACCCTCTCCTAGAAAGTGTTCTGCTGTTGCTTACATAGTCCAGAGTCAAACACTGCACCATCAAGTCATGGAAAATATTGCTAAAAATCACATAAGGTTAAAAGTCTGTCCAGGGCTTCATGCAGTCCTCACAGCACAGGCAGGTTGGACCCACCTGGTTTATGCTCTTCTCCTGGCACACATACTGTCTGACAGGCACACCGTTTCATGGCCAGGCAGCAGAATCAGGAAGGGACCATCCCACTCTCGGGTCCAGCAAAACCAATGTCAGTTCTTGATAATGTGGTAAGGGAAGCAGCCACTGTAGTGCTCTCAAGCTCCTGTCTCAGCTTTGGAGCTGACTCTGTGATCTTCCAAACAGCCTCCAGTTAAGGGCTCAGCACACGGAGTAGGACCTGGCTAGTTTCACATGGGACTCTGACCAGCAGCCTTTGCCCAGAGCTCTCCACTGAGTTGGCTAAAACTTTGTCTGAGTGGTTTGCTGATCCGAGGCCCTGACCAGTCCTGCATCCTCACTCTTCTATCTCTCACAAGTGTTACCCTCTGCTCCAACTAAAACTCTTACACTTTTCCATTTCAAGGTCTGTCTCCAGGAGGTTGCCATGGCACAATAGAGAAACACTAACCATATTTACATGGTGGTCCTCATTACCATGTGATAATAAGACATCACAACATGAAATGCACTGCTGAGTGACACCTGATGTATGAATGCACAGCCCTTGAAATGCATATGAGGCACAGGCGCATCTTTACCACCCAAAATGCACAGAGATCTTTAACATAATCGATGAACACTAATCTATGCTATCTATTTTGTGATGTGATCCAATGTTTGCTGGATACTATACATTTTTTCTATACCAGCTCATTCTACTTGGAAACTTTCTCTTTAGTCCTCTATCAATATATTATAATTTTTAAATGTCTAGATAGGACTGTATTTATCATCACTAGTAACCTCTCAAAATAAATTGAGATGGGATCTTTTTTCATAACTTGTTTCTCATACACACTTGGGATAAATGATATTCAGAATGTGTTTAGCCTCTGTTATTCCTCCAGGTTAAATAATGGAATTTCAGAGTAGGTAATGAATGAGACAAGAATTATAAAATTAAAAGAATTTTAATCCAGGATGACTCTTTCTAAGACAAAGAAATACTGAGAATGTGTAAATATGTCAATATAAATCACTTTAACCTGCAGGTTTTATTTAAAGTCAAAAAAATTGATATATATATAATTCATTATCACAAGCTGTCATTTTATAAGATTTTTAAAACATAAATGAAACATAAATGAAAAGCAGTTTCAAGTAATCATTCTCTATCAGGAGGATTTTGCCAACCAAAGGACATTTGGGAAGAACTAGAAATATTCACAGTGGGGGACAAAGGGGATGCCACAAGCATCTAGTGACTGCAAAATAAGAAATGTACAAAATATAAAACAACCCCCCAAACAAAGAATTACATGGCCCAAAATGTCAACAGTGCCAAGGTTGGAAAATTCCAGTTTAAAGTTAATAAGGAAAGGTATTCAATGCCCTACTTTATTGAAAGGAAAAGGAAATAGTCTGTCCACTATTTAATTGTGTTTTTTTAATTTATTGTACTAAGCAACATCTCACCATTTACTTGAAAGAAGTAATCTAGAGCATTGCATAAAATAAATGGTTAGAGTTCATTTGCCCCTTATACAAGGAGATGATGGTTGCACCCATTTTATCCAAATAATTTATGAGACAGAGAAGTAGGAAAAACACTAGAGATTACCAAAGTTCTGTAACTCTCATGCAAATTTATCATCCAATTCTTAAGGACTTTTTTCCATACATTCATCATATTATTCTGGTAACTTGGTGACTTTTTTCTGGTTTGAGCATACCCTACTTTTCAGCATCCATTGTTAACATTATTAGTTAATATATGACACACAGATTGTTTGATTTTTTAATAAAAATAAGTCTACATGAAGCATCTTGGACCCCTATGCACATATTTCCCTCTGAAATCCCTCTTAAATTTTAACTCACATGGCTATAACTATGACAAACCCATGTTTTAAATGGTACTTTTAAAATAATCAAAATTTAACCTGATCATTTTTAAAGCCAATGACATCGTTTTACCTTCCAATAATAGGTATCAGTACATAAATCAAAGCCGTTGCTTTTTGTCAATGCAAGAATTCTAAAAACAAGAGTAGGACTTCATGTTACGGCCAAGGGGCGCCCTCCACCGAACAGCAGAGAAATAACCTGGATCCGTTTACACTGAGCGTTCAAACTGCATGATGCTCAACCACCGCACGCGTCTTTCTGGCTCATCTGAAAAACTGACTGTAAACCTTACATTTTATTTCACTAAAATAAAAAGTGCCGATGAACAGCACCTTGCACATTCCTGAGGATTCATTGTGAAAGATAGCCCAGAAAAATCCCTACACGATATTAGCAACAAGAAAACAACAACCACTCCTTTTCCTTAACAACCGAGCTGTATTTAACAGGGTATCTTTCTTCTTTCCACTCTCTTTGCTTCGGGGTTACGCGATTCCGTATCAGAGACAGCCAATTGTCCATTCAGACAGTGAGCCAAGCGATGCTAGAAGTTTTAAGTTTTCAAGAGCGGTGCTAAATTGCCAGCAGAGGAAAGAAATTTCAATTATTTAAACGAGTATCACGAGGTCTAAGAGGAAGAAAAGTTCCTTTACTTCCAGCTTCGCATCCCTGATCCAGAATCTCTTTGTTCAAACATAGCCCCCTGGTTTGCAGATGCTAAGATGCTGGTCCGAGGACACCACTGGCCTGATGCATCTCCGGAGCGCACTGACCGCCTGCCTACCGCAGGGCGCGGGCGCGGGCGCGGCGTGGGGCCCGGGTGAGGCTCTTACCTGGGCTCCGGCGAGGAGACAGCTGAGGAGGACCAGCCAGCCCCAGACGTAGGGCGATGCGCCCAGCCGGGCCATGCCCGACACTGCGGGAGGGAGAAGTGAGGACCCCTTCAAGGGCCAACGTGGCCGGCGCGGGACAAACTTGCGGGGAGCCCGGGCCCCGCTGCGTCGCGGCTGGGGAATGCGCGGTCTTCCAATTCCCGGAGGGCTCGCGAGGGGGTGGCCCCTGCGCCCCACCGAGGCGGGCGTAGCTCCTGGGGCTCCAGCTGCTGCCGCTACCTCCACGGACACAGCCTCTGCTCCTCCCTTCTCGGTCCCAAGCGCCGTGGGTCCTCGGGGAGGATCCACAAGTCCCCTCCGGGCAGGCGGCGCTCGTGAGGACACAGGCTTCGGAGAACGGGAGGGTCGCGCGTCCGCGGCTGTCCTCAACAGTCCCCAGCCCTCTAAAACTGATTTCCTCCGAACCATTGCACCAGTGCCGTAAGCGTGCACGCGCCGGCCGGGCGGGGTGGAAGGTAATGTATGTCTCTGTCCCATCGTCACCAGTTACAAATGGAAAACAGGATTTTTATACTAAAGGGACTCGATCCTGAGAAAAATCACAGTCCCAAGGAAACTACTTGGTTATTTCTGTCAGTTTGTTTTTGCTGTTGTTTGTATCTTTTGTAGGCCCACTGTGTTACCTTCTGACCCCTGCCACCAGAATCAGGTGAAATGCTGAAATGCGTATTCCTGGCTTTTACCTCAGCCCTGCTTAACCACTGTAATGCTTGTCCTTGAAATTGCAGCTTTATATAAACCACTAAGTATTATCTTCAATACATTTTTAAAAATTAAAATGTTCAAAAGTATTCTCAAATTGAATGCTTATTATATTTAAAACTGAACCCATTATAGTCTTGCTGAAATATTTCCCTATAGTCTAGCCTTCTTTGCTAATATTTTTCAGAAACTTCACAATTTAGCAAAAATTACATCTCATGATTACTTTAATTTTTAGTATATTAGTAAGATTGACTATACATGTATACATTTGTTGGGTGGTTGTATTACTTTTTTTTTTTAAATCTCCTTTTCTTGCCTCTTGAGGGAAGAAATGAAGAAATGAAGTACTCCGCACTCTGAAACTGGATAATCTGGGTTTAAATTCTAGCTCTGCCATTTCCTAGTTGTATAATCCTGGGCAATATAGATGCTAGCCTCTTTTTGTCTTAATATTCTCACTTGTAAAATAGGAAAAATAGAGTCCCTTTGTCTTAGTTCCAGATACTATAAAATACCATAAACTGGGTGGCTGATAAACCACAAAAATTTAGTTCTTACAGTTCTAAGAAGTCCAAGGTCAAGGATGTAGCAGGTTCCATGTCTGATGAGTGTCGACTTCCACGATAACCACTCTTGTCTTTGCATTGTACTTCACATGGTAGAAGGGGTGAGGGATCCCTCTGGGGTCTCTTGTAGAGATAATAATCCAACCTACGAAATTTCCTCAGGACTGAAGCACCTCCCACAGGGCCCACCCCTTACTATCACCTTAGAGTTTAGGATTTCAACATATAAATTTGAAAGGAATATAAACATTCAGTCCATTGTTCACCCCCCCCCCAAAAGTTGACTGGAAAAGTTGAATGAGTTACCAAATAGAAGGCACTTAGCACAATGCTCAGTCCAGGTGGAATGCTCAGTAAGTGTGAGCTGTTATGGTTAAGACTACTTGATGCTCCTACTGCAGCTGATGATGACAATGACAATGACAATGATGACAAAGATGATGACTTGGGTCTGTGACTGTAGTCTATGAATGGGAAAAGGTCTGGTGCACCTGAATGTTTCCTATTCATATAGAAAAGCATTGTCTATATTTAAAATATTAGCACTTTTTCTGACATAAATGCCAAAATTTTTTCCAACTTTATTTTTTATCTGACTTTTAATATCATTATCAGTGAATTTTTAAAAAATTATTTTTATATATCTAAACTGATTAATCTTTTTTATAGTTTCTTTTTATCAATTGTTGGCAAGTTGAGTATCAGATTGTTAGATTCAGAATACTGTAAGAAATTAGGCTTCTACACTCAGAACTGAGGGTTTTCTGGGTAGAAGTCAGGAAGAAGGCAGCTAACACAGGGAAAGTCCTGGCCATTTAAAGGAGGTTGTTATGGCTTGTATCCAGATGGCCCCCAAAAGCCTCACATACTTATAGTTCATAGGTGAGACTTTTTGGAGGTAGCTGGATCTAGGGTGTGTGATGCTAGGTTTAAGAGTGTGTGGTACTGGATTAGTCCACTAAGGATCTGAAGGGAAAACTGAACCCCAAAGAGAAAGTGAAGAAACAGACGACCTTCATGCAGGAAAAGGAAGGGGCAATCTGCGCTTTTTCCTGCCTCCTGATTCATGTCAAGAGAAAGGAATATTGAATCTGCAGAGATACAGTGAAAGCGGGCAAGTCCCAAGACCTGCAAAGAGAAACGCATCAGTGGAACAGAGCAGTGGGTGCTGTCACTTAAAAGACTGCAGGGTCACCTATAGGGGGAGCTTGGTCAGATGCCGCTGGAGTAGGGAGCACTGAACCCAGGATTCAGAGCAGCCATAGGTTGACTTCATCTCAGGGTTCCCAGTGTTAAAAACCCACAGTGAGTGGGTAAGGGACTACCACAGGAGATGTCCAGGGTCAGAGAGCTAAGATCAGGCAAAAGACACCTTAAGTGTTATAAGCTAAAGGACCCCACACCCACAACCAGAGGCCAGGATCAGTATGAACTTTTGTGAATTTGAAAGTACCAGAACTAGTAACCTGCCCTAATCTTACTACACCTTGCTGGGATTATCAGCATGGATCTGGGCTCTGATTGCTTCCTCTGTCTAACAATGAGAGTAGACTCACACACTGAATTGGACACTACCACAAAACTGTAGACCCCAGAAGATAAGCACAGGCTTGAAATCACAGATAAACTTTTTTTCCCTCACTTTTGGTTTTTTGATTGTTGTTCATTTGGTTTTTTCTGTTCTTTCTTTCTTTTTTTTATTGTTTTTCCTATGAAACTTATTTTTAGTTTTTTTGTTTTGTTTTGTTCTTGTTTTTGTATTTTCCTTATTTCTTTCCCTCCTGTCATCATTAGTTTCCCAAGGCTTGGGTAATCTTCCTTGCTTCTAATCTCTTTCTCATCTTTTATTTCTCTATTTTTCCTCATCCCATTTAAATTTTCTCCCCTAGGGGTAAAATCACTATATTGAGTGGATATTTACTGTACATAATTTTCTGATTTGTCTTAGCTTTTGTTATATAACTATAAATCTTGTGCCTATGGTTAAAACCAGCAAATTAATAGTTGTCACAGTTTGTCATTTTCCAGTCTGTGCTTGATGCTATTGTTATTACTGATTGTACTACTTTAATGAAAAGTATAGCTGTTGTGACCAACTGACCTTCCTTGTATGCCAATATCTAGACTGTCTGGGGGTCATAAAAAAATATTATAGTCTAGTACCAAAAAAATGGATGCTAGGCCAAACAGGCAGCAACATTTTCTCCCTAAAAAATTGAAGAGGTAGGATTCTTAGACATTTTCAAAAGCCAAAAGCCTGCTACGTGTAGAAGACATCTTGAAAAGTAGTTATTTCCTAAGGTAGTCTTGATACTAGTAATAAAGCTACGTACCATAAAAATTTTATTAATATTCAACACAGAAAACAAATTAAAAATAGAAAATGAGAAAACATAAAAGTAAGATGAAACCCATAACCTCCAACTCACCCAAAGCAAATCAAGGGGGTATTGCAGTGGAAGAAATCAAAATCACCCAGCCGAATTTTATGAAGTGATGTCAGCAAAAGTTAAAAAAAAATTAATGAATCTCTTGACGAAAGCAAAACAGATAAACAGATGATGACCATAATGAAGGAAATAGTAAATCTAAAGTAGATACAGATTTTTTAAAAATAGAGAAGCTGAGGAAAGACATAGAGACCATGAATGCTCAACATAGAAAAGAACAGGATTCCATAAAACAGACTCAAACAGAAATCCAGAAGGCTAAAAATTTTACTGAGAGTATACTCAGCAGTCAACCAATGTGAAGATAGGATATCAGATCTAGAATACAGGGTTCTGGTTGGTGATCATCAAATGAAAGGCCACCTAAAAAGACTAAGGGACCATGAAAAATCAATCCAACAGCTACTAGACTATGCAAAGAAGACTAATATAAGATTAATTAGAATAATGAAGAATCAGAAGTTAGCACAAATCTATTCAAAAAAGTAATAGCAGAAAACTTTCCAAGCATGGAAAAAGAACTTGAGATACAGATAAGTGAGGCATATAGAACTCCACATCATCACAACCAGGAAAAAACTATACCAACACATATTATAGTAAAGATTCCAGAAATTCAGCACAAGAACAGAATATGAAATGCTCTTAGAGGAAAGAAACAAGTCACCTATTTTTTTAAAAACATCAGGATCACTGCAGACTTCTCAATGCAAGCCCATAAGTCAAGGAGAGCTTGGAGTGAAGTATTTCAAGCTCTAAAACAAAACAACCCCCAACACAAATTGATGTAGCACACAAAATTATCCTTCATAATTGATGGAGAAATAAGATATTTCATGAACACCATGTGAATGAAATTCATGAGCACCAAACTAGCAATTCAAAAAGTTCTGAAGGATTTTGTAGAAAAAAACAATGTAGACAACAATTCCAAGAATCCAATAGAATGAATCCACCAGGAAAAGCAAGCAATTAAGCAGAAAGGAAAGAAAGGGAACCAACAACAGGAAAATTATACAAGGATAAGCCAATACATATCAGTTATAACCATCAATGTAAATGGTCTCAATTCACTAACCAAAAGAATCAGATTGGCAGAATGGATCAAGAAATAAGCCAATAATATGTTGCATACAAGAAACACAATTAACTCAAAAATAAATTTGTAGACTAAAAGTTGAAGGATGGAAAACAATACCCCATGTTACAGGAATCCAGAAAAAAACAAGAGTAACAATTCTATTTTTAGACAAAGTGGATTTCAAGCCAAGACTGATCAGAAGAGGTCACTACATATAAAGAAGGTCACTACATACTTGTCAAGGGAATAATTCAAGAGAAAGAGATAGCAATCATAAATATATATGCACAAAATGCCAGCACACCCAATTATGTAAAACAAACACTAATGAATATGAAAAATCAGATAAGCACTAATATAATTTTAATGGGGGACCTCAATACCACAAATAGACCAGATAGAAAAAAATCAACAAAGAAATATCAAAGCTGAACCAAAGCTTTGAACAAATGGACTTAGGAGCTATCTACAGTGTTCCACCCCACAACAGAATACACATTCTCCTCAGCTACACATGGTACTTACTCCAAAATAAAACACATACTAGCTCATAGAACATGTTTAAGTAAATCCAAAGGAATTGAGATTATCCCATGTATACTATCAGATATA